ATGTACAATAAATAAGATTAAAAATAATTAACAAGATGCGTTTTCCCCCTCCCACCCGTCGCTGAATGCCCTGGGGAGGGATGGCCTTTAGCAAAGATCTTGGCCTATATGGGGGGCTTGGGAGGGAGGGGTTCCCCCAGCTCTCTGAAGCCACCCCGCCCCCCCTCAACCATACATAGACTTTTCCTATACATTATGTACAAGGTGGAGGGGGCAGGGCTATGGCCATGGAGGCAGGGGATTGGGACAGGGGGGAGGGAAACCGTTACTAAATAGACATTTATACATATATATAAATAATTTCTCTGTACACCGAACAGTGGGAGGAATGGGGAGGGAGTAGAGAGGGCTCGGGAGAGGGGGTAGTCAAACTCTGAACCCTGCCCAGGGGGGAGGGGGGGCAGCATGGACACACCCTGACCAGCGACCCCCCCATCCTGGCAGCAACGGAGCCCAGGGGTTAGCTCCTGAGGACACAGTTCTGTCCCAATTCTCGGTTCATGGAGGAGGTGCCCCCCCAAGTGGGGTGGGGTCACCCGCAGCGGCTGTGGGCCTGTGCTTGGGCCAGCAGATCACTGAAGGAGTCAAAGAGCTGCTCCAGCCATGGCTGGTTCCGCATGCACTGCTGGACCACCTCCTCCTGGCCCAGGTCCTCTGCGCCGCCCTCGATGGCCAGGGTCTGCAGGGGGTTAAACACGAAGCTGGGAGGGAGGGGCTGGGGTCTCAGTATCAGTGTTCTAAAGAGGAGGGGCTGGCAGCTGGATTCTTAAGCCCAAGACAAATGGGACTTGGGGACTCAGGTCCTGTGGGTCTGAGTGAGGAGGGCTGGGGTCTGGCCTCCTGGGTCCAGAGAGGAGGTCACGAATGTGGGACTCCCAGGGTGACAGGTGCTGTGGGGAAGAGGCTCACCTGGTCTCGGCAGCGCAGGAAGGTGTGGTATTTATAGTGGTGGAGTGAATGGTAGAGTGTGTAGTATCCCGATTTCTCCAGTTCAACCTTGAACTCCTGGATGGAGGGGTAGAGAAGCCTCAGACCCTCTGGTCTGCTCTGCACTGGCTCCCCACCCACCCAGCCCCCTTCCAGCCTGATTCCCCACCTGGGCTCGGACCACACTCCTCTTGAGCTTGCTGAGCGTCTTGCGGTTGTAGGGTTCCCCAGCAGGCCGCAGTCGCACCGCCCCTTCCTCGGGGGAGCCCTCCCCACTCTGCTCTACTTGCAGCTGTGGGAACGTGTGCAGGGCATCCTGTGGGAAGCCAAGGGGGTCAGTGGGCCACCTCTCTAGATCTACATACCCAACCCAACACCCAGGTCTCAGATCCCCAGTCATTCAGTGCCTCAGTTTCCCCTAGACTATAGACTGAAAGACACATGCCAGGGTCTGGGTCTCTTCAAAGGACAGAAATGCCTGGGCCTGTCCAGTGACGCTCACACTGTGATTTCTGGCCCAGCCCAGAAATTCAGAGGTACCAAGTTCTACCCAGAATTCTTAGCAACAGCTTTACCATCTATTCTAGGATTCTCAGAACCAGACGAATATCCTACCCAGAAGCATCAGAGGCAAACTAAGATCAAATCCAAGGATTCTCAAGGTCACCCTAATGTTTCACCCCAATTTCCCATCACCAGCCTACAACTATCCCTGAGTTCTCCGGAGTTTTAAACTGATTCTGAATTTGGTGTAGGAGCCAGGCATGGTGGCTTGACAAGTTTGAGCAAGACCCTATCTCAATTTTTTTTTCTTTTGTTACTGGGGACTGAACCCAGGGGCACTTAACCACTGAGCCACATCCCTAGCCTTTTTTATTTTTTATTTTGAGATAGGGTCTTACTAAGTTGCTCATGGCCTAAGTTGCGGAGGCTGGCTTTAAACTCAACATTCTCCTGCCTCAGCCTCCTGAGTCGCTGGGATTGCAGACATGTACCACTGCACCTGGCTGAATCCCCGAATTCTAAAACCAGGCTAACGTTCCACCACATCATTCTCAGACCTATCCTAATACTCTGTATAGACAGATCCCAACTTGTGATGTTTGGACTTATGATCTTTTTCAGATTACAGTGGTATGAAAACAATAGACACTCAGTAGAAACTCAACTCTGGATCTGCATTTGGATGCTTTCCCAGGGTAGCATTATGTGGTCTGATCCTTTCTAGAGATGCTAGGCAGGGATAGTGAGCCGCAGCTCTCAGTCAGTCACTAGAACTATGACATGAAACAGCCGAAACCACATAGCTTGCTGTGTTGCTCAGCTGGGAGTTCAGAAGGTGAGGTAATTAAATTCATTTTCGACTTACGAGATTTCCAATTTTAGCTAGGTTTATTGGGATGCAACTATAGCATGAGCCAAGCATAACACACCACCCAGAATCCTCACTACCAGAGTAACAGTGAACCTTAAAATTCATAGTCTAGACTAACATCCTATAAAATTGTCAAAATCTAATTCTCCAAGCTACCTAACACTCATCTGAGAATTTTCAAACCCAGCACTGATAATTTAACATGTAAAATTATTATTATTATTATTATTAATATTATTATTATTATTTGTACCAGGAATTGAATCCAAGGGTGCTTAACTACTGAGCCATATCCCCTATCCTCTTTTATTATTTAGAGACAAGGTCTCGCTGAGTTGCCTGGGGCCTAAGTTGCTGAGGCTAGCTTTGAACTCATGGACCTCCTGCCTCAGCCTCCTGCGCCACTGGGATTTACCATATAAAATTCTTAATATACTCATTCCCAAATTCACTGTCATCCTAATGTACCATCCAGAATCCTGAGCAAAATGAACATCCTACCCACAAATCTCAGGACCAGACCAACTCTTTATCCCATTTTCTGAGTCAGACTAACATCCCATTGTATATCTCCAAGTCAGCCTAACATTCCACTCCAGAATTCTCAGAGTCGCACAGACACTGTCCCAGGATTTTTAAAGCCAGATTAACATTCTATCCCAGAACTCTGGACTCAACCTAATATTCTTAGTGCCAGACTAACACCCCACCGGGAATCCTCAGAGAGGAACTAACCCTGGATCTCGGCGTTCTCAGAGCTGCCCTAATGCACCTGAGGCCACTCCGGAAGGGAAATTACACAGATGACCGCACAGTGAATCCTAGAATTCTGAGCGCCTGCATGATGGTTAGAGAAGCCCAGGGATCAGCTGCTCTAGCGCCAGCCTTGGATGCAGGCCGTGTTTCTGAGCTCATCCTCCCTTACTGTGCTCTGCTGAGATTCCCAACCCCCGCACACTCCAAGGCCTCCAGCCCACCTCTATCCGGCCTCCAGGCCTGCTTGGAATCCAGGTACCTCTTCTGATAGTCCTGCCCTCAGCTTTTCTCCCAGCTAAGCCCAGGGAAGAGATTTCCTTCTAATAGTCCCCCCACAGGTCTCCTCCATGCCTGCCCCCTGGGCTGCAAATACCCCCTACGTGGGGCCCTAGGCACCTGCAGGGCGGGGCTCAGTGACAGCCGCTTCAGGACTTTTTTCTTGTGCTCATTCAGGAGGCCGTCGATCTTCCGCATGGGTGGCAGGTACAGCTCGTCTGTAAGACGAGGTGGTGTCAAGAGAGCCACAGCCCAGTGCAAAGGGGCTGGGGTCCCCAGATTGCCTCCTCCCTCAGATAGGAGTCCAGGCCCCAGCCCTCCTCCGTCAGACCCAGCTCACCATGCGTGTCTTCCAGGGCCTGGATCATGTCCGGGTCGAGGGCTGTGCTCACCAACATCTCCACGTAGCTCCGGTACATCTCGCGCATCGCCCGAGTCTTCAGTAGACGCCCCGGTATAGCCCGCTCTGGGGGAAAATGGGATGTAGGTTCACTAGTCCACCTTTGCCTGATGCCATCTGTGTGGCAAATACTACTCTCAACACTGAGGATCAGGAGAGCAATCCAAGTCTGCTGGTGGAATCAGAGGCACCACAAGGAGCTCAGAGGAGCTTTACACCCCGCCTGGGTAGGCAGCAAGGCTTCATCATCACATGAGTGTTGAAGGGATTTTTCTGTTATTTTGGTTTTTTGGTACTGGGGAATGAACCCAGGGGTGCTTTACCACTGCACTACATCCCTAGTCCTTTTATTTTAAGCCAGGGTCTTGCTAAATTGAAGAGATTGGCCTCACACTTGCAGTCCTCCTGCCTCAGCCTCTTGAGTTGCTGAGATTATAGGTGTAAGCCACCATGCCCGCCCAAGAGCTGAGTCTTGAGGGACAAGCAAAAAGCATTTTCAGTGTGGCTTCAATTAAGCCTAAAGAAACAGCCAAGCTGGTTTCTAAAACAGTGAATCGAGTCAGAGAGATCACATCGTAAGGCCCAAGACTGAGGGAGGCAACAGGTATGGAGCCTGCACAGGTGAGTGCAGGCCACACCACAGTTCTCCAACATGAGGCAGAAAGGGCAAAGGCTTCTTCTGGTAGGTACTAGGGAGCCACAGAGACCTGTGAGCAGAGGAGGAATAGCAATACATATAGAAAATCCCCTCTGATGGGGCTGGGTTTGTGGCTCAATAGTAGAGCACTCATCTAGCACGTGCAAGGCGCTGGGTTTGATCCTCAGCACCACATAAAAATAAATAAAATAAGGTATTGTGTAAAAAAAAAATTAAAAAAAGAAAGAAAATCCCGTCTGAGGCCCCATGGGGACTGAAGCTGCAATCTAGCCCAGTAGACCACACAAAAGGACAGTGGTCAAGCTGGACTGTGGAGACAGGATTCAGAGATCAAGCTGGCATCAAGGCCAGGGTGGGAAATGAGGCTAAACTGGGCTGGGGCTGCGGGAATGAATGGAGATTAGGGTCAGTCACAGCAAAAGGAGCGGGCTGCAGACTGTCCAACTGTGAGGGTGAGCAGTGGTTAAGAGGTGAAGTTGGCTTCCAGAATGATCTAGCCTTGTGACTGCGACTGCGTAGCTTGGCTGTCCCTACCACAGGGAAACCAGGACAAGGAACTCAGAGGATCTAAGGGTTTTGGGGAGGTATGTAGGATTGCCAAGGGGAAAAAAACAGGGCTTGAGCTTAATGCAAAGTTGTGGGAACGGTCAAGTCAGAGGTATTCAATAAGAACCAAGGGGATTGACACAGTGTATGAATCGGATCGATGGACCTGCTTTTTAAAGAAAAGACAGAATGAAGTAGGGCACAGTGGTGCACGCCTGTAATGCCAGCAACCTGGGAGGCTGAGGCAGAAGGATCCCAAGTTTGAGGCCATCATCAGCAACTTAGTGAGATCCTCAGCAACGGAGCAAGAACTTGTCTGGAAATTTCAAAAATGGGAATGCAGTGTGGTGGTAAAGTCAATTCCCAACATATCCTCCTCACAAATTAAAAAATAGAAAAGAAAATTTAGAGTCAAGAGAAGGAAAGACCACTGATTTCTTAGTGGAACAGTCTACCAAGCTAAGAAACTACATCTCCCAGGCTCCTTCTGGCAGCTTCATGTGGTCACATGACCCCGCTCTTGCCAATAGGATGTGAAATGACAGTGCTAGCTACACCCAGACCTGGCAGTTGTTTAAAAGGCCAAGCCATTCCCATGCCCTAGTGCCCCTTCCTACTGGCAGGACTTCACTTGCAGGACTGCTGGGCCACCTCTGATCATGGGTTTGAGGCAAGTACAGACAGAAGGAAACCAGGAGAACGAACTCAGAGAATCTAAGGGTTTGGGGGAGGTTTGGGGCTGCCACGGGGAAAAAATCAGGGCCTTAGCTTAATGCAAAGTTGTGGGAAAGGGCCAAACAACCTTGAGAAGGAGGTTTTTATTTTCCATGAACCTTCTGCTATATCAGGGCTTTCGTGGAAGAGAATTCTACGTCTCTTTACTCAACCTGCTGTATTTCTAGCCTCTGTTGATAACAACTACCTCTGCAGTACATCTAACAGTGTGTGGCCTTGGGTAAGTCATGTAACCTCTCAGTGCTTCAATATCCTCAGCTTTAAAATGAATTATTTTTCCCCCAGTACTGGGGACTGAACACAAGGGCACTCTACCACTGAGCTAGAGCCCCAGCCCTTTTTATTTTTTGAGATTAGGTCTCATTAAGTTGCTGAGGCTGACCTGGAACTTGCAATCCTTCTGCCTCCGCCTCACAAGCAGTAAAATGAAGATAATTAGAAAGTACCTATCTCAACAGGTTTTATGTAAAGATAAAAAATAAAGCCGACCTGTAATCGCTCCAGGGGAACCCTGAGTGCACTGAGCATTCAGTACCACTAAGCTGTTACTTTTACTTTACGTATATATACATACGTACACCCCCCCCCACTCACCCCTACCCCGCATGTTAGTACGGTTGTCGCTACTGTCATCGTGAACCAGACTTCTAAGCCCTAGGAACACAGTGGTGCACCAGGCAGACATGGGGCTCCCATCAGGTGCCTCCTCTGGGCAAGCATTCTTCTTCAGGCTCTATTGATTAACCCATTTTATAGGCAACATCGCCAAGGCACAAAGAGGTTATGCCCCTTCCTTAGGGTCACCCAGTGAGTCACAGGAAACACCATCATCTCTGAGCCCCAGGATAGAGGCTGGTCCCATGTCCTCCTCAGCCCTGGGGATCTGCCTACACTGAGCCAAAGGAGCACTTTTGTGTCAAGGAACCCAGCCTGGGGCACTGCCATCTGCATGCAACTCGGGTAGGACCCAATCCAGGCGGCGCGCACCCTTTTGGTGCCTCACATTCCTCGTCTGCATTGGGGCCCACAGCATCCACCTCTCAGGGCAGCTGTCGATGGGAAGCAGGTAACGTGAGGCGTGTTCTCAGAGAACAGCCGCTCGTGCAGCTGGGAGGCCCGGGGTGGCTGGCTTTGCCTCATCTGTGGTTTATTACTGTTCCCGTCTGGCTGAGGCTACCTGGAGGCCTCTGGTCAACGCTCAGCCCTGCCTCCTCCTGAAGGCCTGAGGCCCTTGCCCGCACCACTCCCTGGGCCTGCAGCCGCTGGGGGCCTCACCGTCCTCGCTAGGAGCTCCCGGGGATGACTCCGAGTCGGAGGAGCTGCCTGGTGGGCCCCCACCCGCCGAGGCGTTGCCCACGGCCTCCTTCAGCCACTTCTTCCTCTTCTTAGGGGGTGGCTCGGCCTTCACCTTGGTGGGCCGTGCCTTGGGCAGCCGGGAGGTGGTAGGCTGTCCTGTGGCGAGGCTCCGCTCTGGCCGTGCCTGTCGCCCACCGGTGGCCCGCTCGCCTCTCGATGGCCGCTCCCCTCGCGTCACCCTCTCCTTCTCCTTCTCCTTCTCCTTCTCCACGGGTCGTGGTGGGGACGGCTTCTCAGAGGCGGGGGACTCGGGCACAGCTGACTCAGGCATCTGCTCTGGGGGCTTCTCGGATGTCGTCTTCTCAGGGGTCTCAGGTTTGGGAGGTGGTGCTGGGGTCTTGGTCGGAGGTGCAGAGCTGCCCCCTGCCGATGCAGGGCCCTTGGCCTGCCCGGAGCGCCTGGAAGAGTTCAGAGAAGGACTGGAGTCGGCAGCCCCCAAGAAACCCCAATTCTCCTTGGAAATCCCCACCTGGACCACGGCTCTCCAAATGCCACCTCCCCTCATGCTGGGTCTCTGAGCCCTCTCTGCCTGTCTCCCCATATGGCTCTCCATACCCCACTCCCTGGATCTGTCTCCTCCCTCTGTCTCCACCCCCTGCCCCTATTTCCCTCTCTCAAGTGCCCCATCTCCAGGCACATGGGAGCTGCCTGCCACCTGCCTCTGTTGCCCACTGTAAGTACCTGACTGGCACCGGGGGCCGGTGCCAGGGTTTCCGCGCACACACCCTCACGTAATCCTTCTTGTTGACATTTTCCAGAAACTTTACATAGAGGCGCTGGTACCGGTTTTTCGCATCACCAAAATACCCCAAATACTAAGGAGGGAAAGAGGCACATGACAAAGTCTGTCTACACTAGCCAGGCAGCCGCCACCCAGGCTCCCTCCCACCCTGCCCAGGGACACCAAGGCAGCCAGCTGTCTGCAGCCTGCCGGGAGTTGAAGACTTCCTTCCAGATGCACCTCAGAGCCAGGTTGGGTCAGAGTGGAGCATGAGGGGGATTTTGGTAACAGGCATTCCCCTGGGGCCCACAAGTCCTTATTCCTCTCTGCAGGCTTACATTGCTGGTAGCACAAAACTGCCTCTGGCCGTCCTTGATCTCCGGAGTGAATTTCTGCAGAAGCGCCTTCTGGACTCTCCAGATGGGTGGGGGCTCACGCCCTGTCTGCAGTGCCAGCTGAAAGGGAGGGGAGACAGGCAGGGTCAGCCCCTGCTCCCATACCTCTTGTTCCCATCCATGCCCGCTGGCCTCCCTCACTATCCCCTTAAAGAAAAGTAGAGTCCTCAAGCACAAACCACCTACTGACAAGTAGCCCTTGGCCCCACGAGGCCCCCAGCCCTGGGCTGCACTCAAATCTGGCCCTGATTTCCCACTGCCCAGCTGATAATTCCTGATCAGGCTGTTTATTCTTTTGCCAAAGGACTTGAGTTATTCTAGCTTTCCGGTATGAGAGTACAAAGCTTCCTGTGTGACTTAAAGTACTGACAAGCCCTGAGCATCCACCCACCATTGGACAGACACAAACCCTAGCTGGTAACAGAGTTTCAGCAATGAATGAGACCCTCCGTCATGAACTGAATCCTCATGTCCCCCCAGATTCACACACGGATACCTCATCACCACTGTGGTAATGTTAGGGTTTGGGGCCTTTAGAAGCAGCTTTGCTTCTAAACACAGCAAGGAACCAAGAAGCCACCACACCAAAGATGCTGGCACCTTGACCTCAGACTTCCAGCATCCAGAACTGTGAGAAATCAATTTGTAGTTTATAAGCCATCTAGTCTAGGGCATTTTGGTACAGTAGCCTGAAGGGACTAAGATACCAACAAAGCCTTCTGTGGGTCCTTCATTGACACAGAGACAAGCAAATAAACAAAACAGGGTGGTCTGCGGATTATGCCAAGAAAAAACAGGTGACAAGTTACTGAGCCCACTTCATCCACCCATCCACAACAGGGAGAACACAGGAATAGAAGGGCTCCCCTTCTGTCCTGCCTGTTCTCTGCCCCACACAAACACTCAGACCCCCTGCCCAGTGCCAAAGGATGTGGGTCAGACTAAGCATCTGACCCTGGGCATCCAAGGGAACAGTAGAGGAGGCACACGCAGTAAAATGTGCTAATGCCGATTTCCCCAACATGGCAGACCCTGGAGGAAGGGCCTCAAATTAATCTGAATCCAAGAATGTTCCCTGGAAGAGGTGACGCCTATGTGAGTCCCTGGAAGGAACATATCTCCTGCAAGGGCTTGGTCTAGAAAAAAACGACTAATAATACAAGTAAGAATAAGAACAGAGCAGGAAATGCACCCTGGGCATTATGATAACCCAGTAGAAGGGCAATCTCTACATGCAAAGAATCCAAGTCAAGTGATCAACAAAATTCAGATGATACTACATTTGATTAGTCATGGCTGCCTTGAGCTTCACATTCACCAGTAGCAAGTGCTAGGATCTATTAGTGATGTCTGCCATGGGTACCAGCTCCAGTGTGGGGTCCTGAATGCCAGGTAATGGCTATCTATGCTTAGTTTTGGGCAATTTGCTTTCACACTCTCAATTCTCAATTTTTTGACTCTTGGATCATTAGCCAGGAGTGCAAAGAAGGGTTTATGAAGACAGAAAGAGAGAGAGAGAGAGAAAGATTGATTTGATTGAACAATACTAGTGATTCAAATTAAATACATACATATACACACACATACACGAAAAGTAAAACAACGGGGGTGCGACTAATAATCTGATGATAGGAGGTTCAGAAAGGCTGGCGTCTCTTACAGGGCTGAGGCCAAAGAGACAGGAATACAGGCACCCTAACCAAATCCTTTTTTCCAGAATACCACAGGGTTCCTATTCCTCCCTTTCAGTGACCTCAGGGGCCAGGTCAGAGGCTCAAAGATGAAGAACCGCATCCTGTCTTGCTGGAAAGCTGTGTAGGGCCCCCAAATGCAGATCCCTTAGCCTGGCAAAAGAGTTTACCTCAGTGTCTTCTCCCTTCTCCTGCACCTTGCCCAACAGGCTATCCCAACCCTTTAAAGCTCAGCAGATAAGTCCCAGACTTAAGTATCATATTCATGATACTTCCTGTTCTAGTTCTCAAGAATCTTCTAGGAAGCCATCAGAGCTAGGGGGAATACCTCCTGTTCAGGCTCCACCCTCTCCCTATCTGCATCCTCTGAGAAATCTGCTGACTAGCTGAGGTGGGTCCCCTCAGTTCACCACAGTGGACAAGGCTGTCTTTCCCCACATTGCTCTTCCTCCCAGGACCCCACCTGGCCATCAGACCATACCCTGGCATCATCTTTGCCCATTCCCCAATCAAGGCCAGTCAGTACCAAGCCCCTCCCTTCCAGTCTCTCATCATGTCAATCATAACACTGGCCACACCCACTTTCAGTCACTAGGGAAGCTGCCCTGTCCACAACCCTGCACAATGGAAGCCACAGCTGATTGGGGATCTGACCAGGGGCAGTCAACAGATGGGCAGGTCAGTAACCCTATCTTGGCCCCAGATACTGAGCAGGACCAATCAGATTCTTTCTTGAGAATCTGAGCTATGATAAATTAAGCCAGGAGCTAAAAGCACCCATTTCTTTTTCTTTTCCTTTTTTTTTTTTTTTTGTGGTGTTGGGGATCGAACCCAGGGCTTCGTACATGCACAGCAAGCACTCTACCAACTGAGCTATATCCCCAGCCCCTCCAGACACCCTATTAAAAAGAAAGCTTAGCTGGTCTGGTGGTATGCCTGTAGTTCCAGCTACTCTGGAGGCTGAAGCAGGAGGACTGCTTGAACCCTGGGGTTTGAGGCTACCCTGGGCAACACAGTCATACTCGTCTTGAAGGGGGAAAAAAAAATAAAGCTACAACATCCCATCTACAGGGAAGTCAATCACAGGAATTACAGGACACAGCTATGGACAGATGGCCATCTCAGCCTGTACACCTCTCCAGTCACCTCTCTACCTCCCTGCTGTCCAGGGGCACTAGCAGCAGAAGCTAAGGCCTTCAACAACGACCATCAATCTAAACACAATACCCTGAGTCCTACAGGATCCGGCCCCTCCGCAGACTCAGCACTCACGATCCAGCCACTTGATGCTTGCACATCACAAACATGCCATGCTTCCCGATAGCACAGGGACTTTGCACAGGTTACTTGCTACCTCTAGGATGGCTCACACCCTTCTCCATTTTACATCCTTGGAGTATTGCATTCTGCTTCATCTTCAAAACATTCCCAAGCACTAGTATTAACATCATTCCCATTCTACAGAAGAGACACTGACATAGAGCCGACTAGCCTACTGTCTTCCAACAGCCCCGCCCCCTACACAGCTTTTCAGCCCTGGAAAAAATGATGATGTTCTACAAGCATGAAATGGACCCGTTACACAAAAAAAGAAAGTAAATCAACTTAGCTATTTTATTGAATGATTGATTGATAGATACTGGAGATTGAATCTAGAAGTGCTTAAGCACTGAGCTACACCCCCAGCCCGATTTTGTATTTTATTTAGAGATAGGGTCTCACTGAGTTGCTTAGCTGAGGCTGGCTTTGAACTTGTAATCTTCCTGCCTCAGCCTCCCAAGAGTTGCTGAGATTACAGGCTTGTGCCACCACACCCAGCTTATTTTTGCCTTAATACCTCATTTAATCATATTAAAATGTCATTAATCAAGTTGCTGGGGTCTGAGGATATTGCTTAGTGGTAGAGCACTTGTCAAACAGCACAAGGTCCTGAGTTCCATCCCCAATACCACCCCTCCCCTAAAAGTTTCTGTGTCAATTACAGTTTGAAATGATATTTTAGATATTTAGGTTAAGTAAATATATATTCCTGTGGCTAATTTTGACTGTTTTTATTTTTTTGTAAGTGTGGGGATAAGAAAGTTTAAAATCACATACACGGTTCTCAGGATTCTTCTCTTGGGTTGTTGTTCTGAAACAAGCTTTGTTTTCATGTTTTTGTGGTACTGGGGAACTGCAGCCAGAGTCCAGGAGAGCTCTCTCACCACGGAGCTATTCAGAGTGGTTTTTACTATTTTAAAGGACTGTAAAAACCACCACCAACAGCCACAGCAGAGAGTCACAAAGAAGAACGTCACAGAGGCCATCGCAAAGGCTGTATGTGGCCTGAGAAGCCTGCAATGTCATCTGGCCCTTCACAGGAAACACTTGCCAAGCCCCACTCAGGCCTGCCCAGGGTCCCCAAGGGGAGTAACAGCAAACATTCAAAACACCCTGGCAGGTCACCCACTGTCGGAGAATGGCAAGCCCTGATCCTCTGGTCCCTAAAAAGCATGAGAGAGGTGCTGACGTGATTGGCCATGATGAGGAAACTGAGGCTCAGGAAGATGGACAGGAGCCCAGCTGGGAAGTGGCTGAGATTCTTTCAAGTCAGGTCAACAGCAAAGTTGGGATCCTAAACACGCTGCCAGCTGGCCCCGTCTCCAGGGCCAGGCATGAACCCGGGTGCCTGCCACAGGGCTCAGGCTTGTGGCTCTGTGCCCCCCACCACAATGCACACTCCAGTTGTATTTTAAGCATCTGAGTCCTCGCCTGGCCCCTTCCCCTGCTCCACACCAGCTGGGAAGTGGTGTCAGATGGCCCTGGCCCCAATCCCATGTAGGCACCTGCCAGCGGAGAGACTCCCACTGTGTGTTGGTGAGCTTCCTCATCTGTGAAATGGGGATGGTGTGAGCCTCACCCCAGGGTCACGCTCATCAGGCCCAGGGCCAGCTATGACACCCCCCTGGCCACTGTTACCACCTTTTGACCAGAACAGACCAGGTGCACAGCTGGGGCTGAGTGCGGGGGCTCCTGGGCTGGCAAGGCTGGGTGTGGCTCTCCAGCTGCAAAATCCACCTGGGAAGCTACTTTGTCTCTCTGAGCCTCGGCTGCCTTTCCTATAAAATGGGAATAGTAACCCTTAGTAGGAAGGACTTGACCTGTCTGATCTTCAATTTCCTCCTTTGAAAATATGAGGATAACAGTCTCTATAAGGAAGAACAATTAGGAAGATAAAACATGGCCCAGCGCAGCAGCGCACAGCAGGAATCTCAGGGACTCAGGAGGCTGAGGCAGGAGGATCAGGAGTTCAAAGCCGGCCTCGGAAACTTAGCAAGACCCTCAGCAATACAGCGGGACCATGACTCTAATAAAATACAAAAAAGCACTGGAGATGTGGCTCCGTGGTTTAGTGCCCCTGGCTTCCATCCCTAGCACCAAAAAAAAATAAATAAATAAAAAGTAAAAGAGTTGGTGGCTTTCCTATGGCTGCTGCTTGTTTCAAGTCTTCCTCACCTGTCTGTCAGTCTCAGAAACTGTGATAACAAATTGAGATAATATACACAGAGCACTAAGAACAAGCCTGGGCACATGGGAAGATGGGCCAAGGAGGGACGCCTGAGACTGGAGGCATAGAGAATGTTCTGGTAGTGGGGGTGGGGCCACGGGCACTCCTTAAAGCATTTTCCTTTATAACTTGTACATCTCTTACAAATGTGTCAACATTATGCTGGGGATAGAATACAGATGGAAGGATATGATCCCTGGGACTGACAGGGTGGGAGTTGGGGGCAGAAAGCAGAGTGGAAATGGGACAGGCCAGAAGGTGACGCTGGAAGCGAGTACTTTTCCCTCAATAAAACAGATCAACCATAATATAGAATAAAAATAGCTTCAGGGCTGGGGTTGGGGCTGTGTGGTAGAGCACTTGCCTAACATGCCTGAGGCCCTGGGTTCAATTCTCAGCACTGCATATAAATAAAGGAATAAAATAAGTCGAACATCTAAAAAAAAAAAAAAATAGGTTCAGCTCACCTCACAAAACACTCACGAAGAAAATGCAGTAATAGTTCTTATTCTTATAATTACTTCACACCATAATCTTTCCATCTGTGTTTGGGAAGAACCAACACCCAAACTCAATTCAACAAAACAACACGTCAGGGACCAAACACTGATGCTGCTCCATTGAGGATACACACCCAAGGACGGTGACTGATGAGGAGAATGGCCTTGTTCTTTGGTGCCACCATAAGGGTGACGGCAGCCCACTGACCTACTGAGCTAGGGTTCCTTCTCATGCCCTGTGCAAAGCAAGCACTACGCTGGCCTCAACATCACCACCCTCATCTGGCACCTATCATGTAACTCCTCTGATCCAGCTCTACATGCCCACAAACCATACACAGCAAAGTCTGCAACCTTTTCGGTAACAATGCAAAAAGAAAATATTTTTGGCTTTGTGGACCAGCTCTACGCTGCCACCATACGGGGAAAACAGCCAGAGATGACATGTCAGTGAACAGACGTGAGCGTGTGCCAATAAAACTTTATTTGTAAAAACAGGCAGCAGGCTGGATTAGGCCCCCAGGTAGCCAACCCCTGCTCTAGAGTAACTGGAGTGGCGAAGGGTGGGTCTCCACAAGCACCTCAGATCCCGCCTGATGCACAGCGCGCACTCCAAACCAACAGCTGTTCCTTTGATGGGTCGTATGTCAGGTTGCTCACATGTGCGCAGGAGGGGGTGTTTAAGGACAAGAGAAGCATCAGGGACCATGAATAGCATCCTCTCCGCTCCTCCTGCTATATTCTAAGGCCCCAAGAGCAGAGCCTTTGCTCCTCTCTGCGCCCCCAGCACCCACTGCACACTGGGATAAGCATTAGCAATTGTTTTAAATCTTGGTTTTTGGTAACACGTACACATACACTAGTACCCTCTCGGGGGCACCATGGCGCCCCCAGAACATGCTGTCCACCTCTAGGGAGACCAGGAATTCGAGGGGGCCCTGGCAAGTCTGTCTCAGCCTTAACTACACCTGCAGTCCCTGAGATGAGGCTGTCACCCAGCAGGTGCTCTGTGAATACTCCAAATGACCAAATCCGTCAGGCCCAGTTTTGGGGGGCCGGGACTCACCTTGAGTGAAGGGATGTCCTCAGCTCGGATGACAAACTCGTCCCGCTCCCTGAAGATGCCCTCCCCACCGCTCTCGCCAGCCTCCTCGTCAGTCTCCCCACACACAGCTGCCGTCTCCTGCTTCTTGGCCAGGTGCAGGGGCCGAGCGTCTGGTGGCTCGGGGTCCTCGGGGGACGGGGCAGCAGGTTCCTCGGGAGGGGCAACTGGCGGGGGAGCAACCGGCGGGGCAGCAACCGGCGGGGCTGGTGGTGGCGGAGGCGGCGGCGGTGGTGGTGGTGGTGGTGGCGAGGGCAGGGCTGGTGGAGGGGGTGGCTGCGTTGGAGGTGGCGAGCTGGCCACAGGGGCCACCAGTGGGGGTGGTGAGGGCAGGGCTGGTGCTGGCGGAGGCGGTGGTGGGGGTGGTGGAGGCTGAGGCTGAGGTGCTGGGGCAGGAGGCGGCGAGGGTGGGGGTTTCTCCTCCAGCAACGGGGGTTCTGGGGAGAGAAGGACATCAGCTCTGGATGCCATTCACTGTCTCTGAGGCTTCTCTTAAACATTCCTTCATGCACTAATAGGACTAAGGCTCCCAGAAGCCCTCTGCCACACCAGCAGAAGGGGGACCCTTTCCCAGTTCCAGTAGCTACACAGAGCCCTGGAAGTTAGGCTCCCGTCCCTGCGGCCTTTTTCAGTCCTCCATCATCTCTTGAGTCCTCCAAGCCTTTGTCTGGCTTTTTTTCTTCGATACCAGGGATTGAACCCAGGGGTACTTAACCACTTAGCCACATTCCCCAGCCCTTTTTGTTATATTTTATTTTGAGACAGGATCTTGCTGAGTTGCTTAGGGCCTTGCTAAGTTTCTGAGGCTGGCTTTGAACTCAGGATCCTCCTGCCTCAGCCTCCTGAGCCACTGGGATTAAAGGCCTACATCACAATACCCAGGTTTCTGCCCCCGCCTAGTACTGGGGATTGAGTCCAGGGGTGCTCTATCCCAGTCTTTTTTACTTATTTTGAGACAGGCTGGCCTCGGACTCTGCCATCCTCCTGCCTCAGCCTCCGAGTCATGGGATTACAGGCGTGTGCCACTGTGCCTGGTCCTTCTCTGAAGCCAATCTCTGGGTCTTGTCATTCACTGGGCCCTTCCCTGTCTTCCCCAGGGTATTGCCCAACCGGGGGACCGACATTGATCTTCCTTCCTGATGCTATTTCTTTGAGCCCCACAGGTGTTTTAACAGTTCCTAACTCTGAGGAGTTTCCAACCCCTAAAACTGCCACTTCTTCAATGCTGTGCCCTCAGCTGTGGCCTTCTCAGCCCTTCCAAGGCTCTCCAGACCTTGATATTTTCCCTCTGCTTAGAACTCTCTGGTACTTCCCATGTTTCCCCAGACACTTGTGTTCTGCCTCACCCTCTCGTTCTACTCCCCATCTTTCTACAAGCCCCCCTCCACAAACCTCTCGATTCCCTGACACTCCTGACCCTTCAAGCCCCTTTAATGCCCCCCTCTCATGCCTCTGTTCCCACTAAAGTCCTGTAGTTTCTGTTTATAGCTTACCCCAGACAGAACCCTATGCCCATGAGACCTACCTGTCTCCAAGTCCCTCTGCTCCACACGCCCTGCTGTCCCTTACTGCACATCACTGCTCTTCAGAGATCCTCTCAAGCCCCATGTTCCCCACTAGCTTCAAAACCTGTGCCCATAATTTATAACCTGCCCCGACCCCAGCACTCTCCAGGGCCTGGATTGGGACCCATTAGTCCACTTAGCACCTCCAAGCACAATACCACTGCTACGTCCTACACCACCTACAGTGAAACCCCTTAAACCGTCTATAACCTGAACAACTGTTATCTGGTGACCATAATAATCTAGAACACCTGCTCCACCCCCAGACGACCTTCTTGGAGCTCACCAGGTGTGCCATTGCTGTTGGTACTGGGGAGCCCGGGGAGAGGGGGTGGCCCTGGGACTGCAGATGCAGTGGTCAAGGGCGGCCCCTCTGGGGTAGAAGTGTCCTTAGGCCCAGCAAGGGGTGGGTCATCAAGGGCAGAGATGGCTGACGAGATGCTCTCCTGTAGGTCCCGGTTCTTGGCCACGGAGTCTTCCTCATCCGAGGAGAAAGAGGGCAGCGTCTCAAGGTTCCGCTTCAGCTCCTCGTCCAGCCGCTTGCAGGGCGAAGGGCAGCCCAGCCCCAGCCCCTCACTCTCCGCAGCCTCCAGCGCACCCCCCAGCCCGAAGGCGCCAGCAGGTGGCGGGTGTGGCACAGTGGGTGCAGCGGGCGGCTGGGGCTGCAGGCCTCGGGCTGGCACAGAAGGTGGCACACTCTTGGGGGGACTGAGCGGGGGTGTCAGGCCTGCTTGGTACAGTGGCGGGTGGCGCTTGCCTGACTTGAGGAAGTCCAGGAAGGAGGCCATGAAGCCTGACTTCATCTCTGGCTGCTTCTCCTCTACCTCTTTGATCTTGGCCTCGATCTTCTCCCGGGTCAGGCTGGAGTCCAGGCTGTTGTGGTCCACACCCGACATGGCATCGCCTGACGAGGCTCCCAGCCCTTCACCAGCCTTGGGCACAGACAACTTGATCTAGACACGGGGACAGTGGGAAGTCAGAGCCCAGGGGTCCTGGCCCCAGGCCCCTCACCTCAGAACCAGAAATCCAACTTCCCAGACTCAGCCTGCGGCGGGCTAGCACTGAGCCCTGAAGACCCTTCTCAAGCCTGGGGCTGCAGTTCTTCCCTCCAAACACTCACTGACCTCTCCTTGCTACCAGGCAGCTCAGGTACCCACATGCTCTTCCCACAAGAACAGGATGTAGGATGCTGGACTGCTCATCCTTCACCGTCAAGAACCCAAGAACCCAAGCCCCAATCGCCCATTTCTGCTAGACCACGCGTCATTCTTGGGTTTCACCACTGCTGCAATACGGGAATCACATTCCTCAGCCTGACCTATGTCCCTCGTGCCTAGATCAATAACATGACCCCAGCCCTTCCCTATCTCTCCGACTCACACATCCCATCCTCAGCCCCTACAAGACTAAGTTCCCCTCACCTTAAGTGGCTTCAGGGGCTCCAGCCGGGTGCCCCCGCCCTCCTCGGCTTTTCTGCCCCTGCCACGGCCCCTGCCCCGGGGTTTCTTGGCCCCATCACTAGGTGTGGAGGCTGAGGCTGGCCCAGTGGTGGTGGGGACCTCCAGTGGGCGGATCCGGGGCCTTCCCCGGGGCCGGGGAGGACCATCGCGCTTCGCCTTGGTGGGCTTGCGGCCTCGGCGCCGGGGGCCATCAGGGCCTGGGTTAGGTGGGCAGAAGTCGATGTCACCCAGGGGTGACAGGGCTGGCCGGGAGCGACAGCTGGAAACCAGGTCAGGCAGGCGCCGGGGATTGAGGCGAATGTCCGCAGGCACATCGGCCTTGTCCTCGTCGGCCTCAAACTCGTACTCCTGGGCGTACAGCTTCTTGGGCGTCTGGAAGGGTGGGTCGCGGCGTCGCAGCAGGTGGAAGGAGGACGTCTTGAGCAGCTTCTTTGGCTTGGTTGAGCAGAAGATGGGCGAGGTGAGGCCACCCTTGGGCTCCGAGGCAGGTGGTGGAGGCGGTGGAGGGGGAGGCGGGGGTGGGGGTGGCGCCTGGTGCGGCCCACTCTGGATCAGGCCCAGCGGCTCAGCGTTGACCGTGGAGGGCAGCTCCGGTGGCTTGTTGGGGTCCAGGCCCAGGCCCGGCGTCTCAGGCCCAGCTCCAGATGCCCGGCCAGGGCAGTAGGGCCCATAGGGGTCATAGGCAGGGGGGCCTGGAGGTGGGCCAGCACCAGCCTTGGGATCACCCTCGTCCTCTGGCTGCCCAGCCTTGCCATAGTCATCTGCCGCCCCTCCGCCAAACATCTCCTCCATGGTGGGGAAGAAGCTGCGCTCCTCGTCCTGGAGCAAGGAGTCAGGGAAGCAGATGGAGGTGAGCGGTACGAAGCGTGGGGCCTTGGTGCCTTGTGGGCTGGGGCTTCGGTAGGCACCCGCAGGATCCTTGCCCTCAGAGTTAGGTGGGCCCACGCCGGTGTCACCAGGCCCTGGGGGCAGTGGCTCCAGAGCCCCAAGCAATTCTTGCATGGCACCTGGAGGTTCTAGGCTTTCCTCTGGTCGGAGACGGGGGCTGGGGGCTGCAGGCTCCAGGCCATGGCTGCGGAGGTGGGCCTCGAGCTGGAGGGGCATGGGTGGTGGAGGCGGGGGCGGTGGCGGCTGGGGTGCCCCATCACGGGTGCTTGGCTCAAGAAGGTGGACACCGACTTTGGGGGCGCTAGGAGAGGGGCTAGGGGCATGGCTGAGGACAGAAGGGAGCAATTGTGGTGGAGGTGGAGGCAGCACCAGCGGGAGGTCAGGGCCTCCAGCCTCCAGAAGGAGGCCATGGGGGTTGGGCTGGGCGGGCTGGGCAGTGGGAGGTGGGGGTGGTGGACTTTTCTGTAAGAAGGCCCCCAGCTCCTTGGCACCTGCCCCATAGTGGACAACTGAGGTGGCCAGTCCCTCAGGGGTCTCGCCAGCCCGTTCTGGCCCTTTCTTCTTCTCTTTCAGCCTCCCCAGGCCCAACTCCAGGGCTGCCGTGGCACCTTCATCCAGGCTGGCACTGGTTCGAATAACACTCTGCAAGTGGTACCTCTGGGGGTCTTCCTTGGCCAATTCATAGGGTGTGCCTGGCGTTCCCCCGGCCCCGCCACTACCCCCAAGTCCCTTGGAGGCATCTGGTGCCCCATCCTCGCCCACTAAGCCATCTGCCCCCGAGGTCCGAGGTGGGCTGGGTGCCTGCAGGAGGTGCTGGATAAGGAATTCCTCATCCTCAGTGCGCTCAGCTGGAGGCCCACCAGGGCCTGCCAGCAGCTCAGAGCCATCACCCTTGCCCTTGTAGCCACCTGCTCCAGCTGCATAGTTACCAGCTCCTGGGGGCGCCAGGAACGGGGCAGAGGCCAAGACTGAGCTCAGGTATTTGCCAGGGGCTCCTGGAGAGCCGACTCCAGGCGGGCGGCCAGTAGCTGGTGGTGACTGAAGAGGACGGATGATGTGGGACGGGCTGGCCTCCCCACCACCTCCCAGGGAGCCGGGTCCCCAGCCACCTCCATGGCCCGAGAGTGCCGGGGAATGGCCAGTACTGTAGCTGAGCGAGGGGCTGGCTGTGGGCAGCCCTTGGGAGTGGGCAGCTGGGCCTGGGTAAGGCTCTCCCTGCACCCCATAGAGCTGCCCCTGCAGCTGATCTGGAGAGTAGCTCTGACATGTGGCTAGACCAGGAGGTGGTGGGCCACCAGGAGGCTGTGGGGGACCCCCTGAGTAGCTGGGTCCTTTGCTCAAGTCCTGTGCTTGACCCCCTCCAAACCCCTGCCCATAGGCCTGTGGTCCCAGGAGCCCTTGGGGCTGACCAGGAGAATAGGCCTGGCCCCCAGCCCCACCTGCCCCAGAGGTCTTCCCCGTGGCATAGGCTGCTGCCGGACCACCCAGGCTCTGACACTTGGGTGTGGCAGTAGAGCGAGGTGGTGGGGGTCTGGTGGCACCCCCAGCAGCTGCTCCATAACCACCTTTGCCTGTCTTATAACCCGGCGACTGAATGATGGGGCGATAACCTCCACCACCACCTCCGGCCCCACCACCCCCAGCTGCCTCAGGGCCCGTGGCTCGACCTGACGTTCCAGCTGTGGCTCCACTGGGACCAGCCTTGCTGGGTTCACCAGAGCCCGGGGAGGGCTCCCCACCGCCCAAGGGGCTGCAGGCCAAGTTAGCCCGGTGGCCCATGGAGGGGTAGCTGCCCCCACAGCTCAGGTAGTGCTGGAGGGCATGGGCTGGTGGCGGAGGTGGTGGGGGCTGGGCACTGGCTGGCCGCTGGTAGTGCTTTATGACGGTGTCCTGGCGGGGCAGGGCCCGCTCAGGGGGCGGTGGGCCTGGGGCAGCACCCGAGAAGTTGTAGAGCTGGGGGGAGGACTGTTCGGCAGCAGCGGCAGCAGCGGAAGAAGAAGCCAGTAGATTGAACTGAGTGGGGAGGTGGCGGGGAGGTGGGGGTGGATCTGGGGGTCCAGGGCGGTAAGGGGGAGTCTGGGCCGGGCCAAGGCCAGCAGGCCCCAGAACGCCGCCTCCTGCCAGGCGCTCAAAGCCCAACGAGGAGGGTACCGTGGGTGCCTGTGAAGGCTTCAGGTGCAGCACATCATGAGGGGACAGGAGCCCATTAGCAGGAGGACTGAATGGGGGGTCCTGGAGGCTGAGGGACGAGGGTACTGGAAAGGGACGGCTGCCGAAGGAAGCTGGGTGCTGGTAGGCAGACAGGGCAGAGGAGGACGGAAAGGTGCTGGAAGCCGGTAGGGCACCCGAGATGAAGAGTTCCGTGGGGCCTGGTGTGTGCATGGCTAGGGATGATGGAGAAGACGGGAGGTCAGAGCAGACCACAAGCTAGCCCCACCCTAACCCTCCAGGGGCAGCACTGCGCTTACCTGTTTGCCAGGAAGGACTACGGAACTGGGAGAGGAGAGAGGAGGCAGAGGGGCCTGGCTGGGGGCCCCGGGACTCCAGGGCGGAAATGAGGTTCATGACGGAGGCGTCGGGCCCTGCTGAGCCTGCATGGTGGAGGCCAGTGTCGAAGAGTCCAGAGAGGCCTGGCCAGGGATAGGAGGGCAGAGTCAGGCAAGTGGGAGGCCAGGCGGGGTCAAGGAAGACAAATAGCCAAACTAAGTGGAGTTAGGGAAATGGGTGGGGCAAGTCCAAAGAGGACAAAAAGGCAAAATGAAGTTGAGATGGCCAAAGGGAGGGAAAAAGAGAAAGTAAAGGAGGAACAGGTGCAATCCAAGCAAGCGCAGAGAGCCCAGGTGGGAAGCAATAGTTTTAAAAGAGTAGAAAAAATCCCAAAGTGAAGGAGACCAGGATGAAAGGGCAGAATCCTCAGTAAGGGGGTGCGGGCAGAAGATGTGGGCAATTCGAGTAAGGAAGGAGAGAATACAGACAACAGGAGTCACAGAAAGACCTAAAAAAAAAAAAGTGAAAAGGGGTTAAGTCAAGGTAGCAGGATCCAGGGAAAAAACAGATGGGGAGGAAGAGCAGGAAGGAGCCGATCAGGAAGGTCAGAGGTCAAAGTGGACGCACAGTCTCTTTGCTGGTACATATGGGCAAAGGAGGGGGGATATGTCAGGATCAAAGCAAGAAAGCTAATCAGAACCGTGGGAGGCAAGGCCAAAGGGGGAGTATAAGCAGTGGGCAAATCTAAGTAAAAAGAGGGAGAGGCAAATAATTGGAGGCAATCAGGAAAGAAAATCAGGAAGAATTCAGAGGGCAAGGGAGCTAATGGGATGAACCCTGAGGGAGAGGGTTGGGGTAAGCTAGAGAGAGGCCGAAAAGCCTGGAAGAGAAGGTGGGATTTGGGGGCTGAAAAGACCCGGCCAATTGAGCAAAAGGGGCGGGACCAGAGAGACGGGGCAAACGAATCCGGCGTGAAATTAAGCAGCAACCAGCAGCCTCACACTCAACCAATCAGAGGAGAGCCAGCAAGGGGAGGGCCACGACACAGGGCACGGCCAATTAGGATGGGCGGAACTTTCAGCAGCCAACCAGCTGTCTCCGAGGGAGGGCCAGGCTAAGCCGGGCGGGATGGGGCCGTACCTGCCGGGTGGTGGTTGGTGGCATAGCTTTGCAGTGGGTGGGGGGCCGCATAGGCCTGGCGGTGTAAGATGTCCGTCTCGGGGTGCGAGGTCCTGGAGCTGCCATAGACCAAGCTGAGGAGAAGGGGGAAATGTCAGAATGTCCTCCCAAGCTGCCTTCTGAGAAGGGAGCTCAGGAAATCCCCGGGGAGTTTGGGGGAACCTTCCAGCTGATGAGGGGGTTATCCCAAGGAACCCTGGGCTCTAAAGGAAGAAGACAGGGAAACTGGGCTGCCAATTAAAGACTCACGAAAATGGCCCTCACTCTCGATCCTCAATAAATAAAGCCCGGATAGTCTCACATTTCCACAGGCAGGCACACAGAGACAAACAAGAGAAGAGAGTGCAAGTCGGAGGAAGCTTCCTGAGTTGAATATAAAAGGTGTATTCCTTCTGCCAAGACCTCCTGCTACACACACATACACACACACACACACACACACACAAAGTGTGAAGGTAACACAGACAGTGGAGCCAACTGCAGAGGTGCACATGGACAACTTCACTGGAATGGCATAGCCCCTGAACTTCATGGGGTTTTGCAAACCAAGTCGGGAGCGGAGGTAGACTGTTCTCAATAAGGCAGGAGTTGGGGGTGGGGAGGGGACAGGAACGGAGAAAGTACCAGGTACAAGTGTGAACACGAATACCGTCCATCCTCAGGGGTTAAGGTTCAAATGCATGGGCCCATGCAAAGCCAGGTATGTGGGCAAATGGGGAAGAAAAGGTTCAGACGGAGGAGTCACACAGGAGAAATTCTGACACACTGGGAAACCCAGGTATGGGGAGGAAGGGTTCCGGACAGGTGAAGAGTGAGGGTACAACACTGAAAAGCAGCAGGAAAGGGAGAGATTCACAGGTGAACACACTGCCAGCCACGCACTCTCAGGACTCATGTTCCCACACACAAACATACACCAGGCAAACATTCTACTGTGCATGCAATGGCCCCCTATCTGCGGCCGAGACTCAAGAAGGCAAACACACTCATGGCCATCAACTAGGATTCTCTGCCTCTGGGGGTGGGGAGTTAAAGGGGGCGTGTCCCAAGTACCAGACCCCCCCCTACACACACAGAACCCTAGCTTAAGAAGGGGGCGGGGCCCCATGCCCACTCTGCGCGCGGAATTTCTTGGGGGGAGGGCCCGAGTGGTTCAGCCTCACTCAATCCCGGAACAATAGGACCTAGGAGGGGGTGCGTGACCCCCAGGTCTGCGTTTTAATTCTCCTTTCCTTCCACCTTTGCAAGAGCAGAGCCAGGGGCGCCAGGGGGGGAGGGGTCAGCAAGCTGGGAATCCAAGGATGGGGGGAAGCCCAGGCCTTGCTTCGCCAGTCCCTCCCACCTTCTGAAGGCCTTCCCATCTGAAATTGTTTTGCACCCCTATTTTCCCGCTGCATTTCTCCCTTTGCAAGCCAGAGCTGGCTTTAGCGGAGTTTGCAATTTGCAAACTGGGGCGGCGACGTTGTTACAAACCGAAGAAGGCCGCTCCCTCGCAAGCCAGAGGGGAGTTTGCAATGCACGCGTCGCCGGGCGGGCCTGGCCGGGCCGGCCCCCACCCCTTGGCCCCTTTCTCCAGGCCACCCTCAGCTCCTTACCTAGCTTTCGCTGACCTCTCGTAACTCCATCCCGCCCCGGCGCCGAGCGGGTCCCCGAAGCCGGCGCTGGGGTAGTTCCTGTCCATGAATTGGCCGCGGTGGAAATTGGGGGGAG